ACACTTCACAAAGGCAATTAAATAATAATAATGCAAGTTACAAAGAAAGAGAAAAAATATAATTAAGATCCTTCACATACTCAGGTCAGTGCTCAACTAGGTTTTTTGTGTATTCAAGACAAAATTAACACAATGTTTAACTACTGGATGTATTTACATTTCAAAATATGTAAACTTTCTAACAACTTACTTACACATCTTAACTAAATTTCATCCTAGAGCCACAGTTCATAAAAACATAGTATAAGTACCAACATATTTAAAGTTTATGTGTCTATGATACCTCAGTAAATTTTTATTTCAAAATCTAAGAACCAGTTTTAGAGCTGTTTAGTTCGTGCATACATCTATAACCAAAGCTTTTTACTTTTTCAGCTTAGGACAGCAAAGATAATCAAACAGGTTTCAACATAAATTCCACTTGATTTCAACACCTTTTATCAACTATCTAAAATGACAGACTTCCCTATGAGTCCCATGAACACACATACCCACAATAACTCAGCTACAGCAAACTGTTTCAAATTTACCCAGTATCAACCATCTCTTGCTCCCTTTATCCTTTTTTGTTCACCTCACTGCTTGCCAATCTGTTAAAATACCATGAGGAGTATCTTATATCAGAATTAAGTTACTGTAGATTTTTCAACAGTTAAAAACCTTCCTGCTTACCTTCCACTGAAAAGTTAGCTGTCAGTTTAAAACAGCCCTGTGAACACAGCTGCCTGTACACTTTGTGATATTCTCACCGTTCAGTGAGTCATGCCGGCTTTGAAAAGTTCTCCCTTACACTTTGGCTTTCAACAACATCTATTCAGATATGGAACAAAAGCACAGCAAGAACTTCAGTTAAGCCAGGGAACAGGAAAATGCCTCCTGAATTTTAATTAAGAGAACACACTAGAAAATGACTGTACTACATCTCATAGGGCTGCTTCCAAATCAGACCAACAAATTAAAAGTTTCATGTCTCTTTTTTATTTGAGTACTACCCCTTACTTAGCATCTTAAATAAAAGTTTCCTCACTTTTCCACTTTTGGCTATCATAATACCCCAGTGAGCGCAGTATCTAACAAACGAGCTCTTGTTTCAAAAGAGCAAAATGTACTTACAACGCAATATTCTCCTAGAAAAAACTGCAGATAAAATTTCAAGTATTACAGTATCTCAACAAGATGGGAAGCTCAAAAGTTAGAGGTTAGAAATCTATCAAGATTATTATTATTTTCACTGTAGAACACTTCTGTCTTTTTCCACTAACCCCAGTCTTCTGGGGTGCTCAGATAAACCTGGCACATTTCAATCGTGCCGTCATTCGCACTTACAGAGCACCCAGATGACTAAACAGCATATTTTCAGCCTAGCAGGCAGCAGTGACATGCAATGGCCAGCGTACATTGGATCCAGTCCTCCTGCTTATTAAGCAATGAAAAGGGGGAAAAAAAGGGACGTTTTTATCTTGAAGATGTTGGCACCTTGACAGCTACAGCAATGACAGGGTCTTTTGTCTAAACTTTAAACACTCTTGTAACCAAGACACAATTAAATCTTCAGTATTCTGAAGGGCATCACCTTCAAAGTATGCTAGAAAAACTTCTGAACAGCACAACTTCTCAGTTTGTACAGACTGTAGATTTTCCTTTTTTCATAATGTCAGACAATACTGAAAGAATATTAAAATGTTACAGTTGTTTTAACAGATTTAAACAGTGGAATTAGTACACCATACACAGCAATAGACACATCTGTAAACTGTACTAGAAAAGAGGGGGAAAAAGATTGTACAGTCAAGCAGAACTTTCTGAAGTAATTAAGCCCTACTGTTCCTCTGCTCATGGAAGAAACACTGCACAACTATTTCTATTATCTGAAACTTTCCAAAGACCACATGTTTAATGGATAATGGGTTTAATGGATAATGGGTATTGCTTACCTGACAGCTTTTTCAGTAAATACTAGGAACTGATTGACACAAATTACCATAGACACAAAACACAATCATATTTTAATTAACCCTTTTGATCAATTTAGGGAGAAGTTTTGAGGGTTCGGGGGGTTTTTTTTTGTTTTGTTTATTATTTACACAAAATTGGTGAGATAGTTAGGTATTTACTTGATCTAATCTCTCTGAATAAAAAGAATTTATAAAGTCCTGCACCACTGACCAGAGCAGGGTTCAAACCCTAGAACAGATTGCTCACAGTTCCAAGTGTTTCAGCCAGTATTGTACCTGTAAGTTCCCTCTCTCAAGCATGGTTATACAGTGTTTTCTCAGGTTATAGTGAAATTCCTCCTACCCCCCTTCCTGTGTAATTCTCAGTATTTCCCATTTCTCTTTTGCACAGAAGTTCATTGCATAATTAATGCATCCTCTGCACTTGGCATCAGCATGAACAAAAAACACTTAAACTTCAAAGTTCAGTTTCTACTCTAAAAATTTTCTGGGGCCCTTATTTTAGCTCCTCTTCATCTCATGTTGCTGATTCCAGAAAAGGTCTCTTTTTTGTGCAAGACCAGAACCCAAGTCATTGACTAAGACCTCTACTGCTAGATAAGGTACAAATGTGATGTACAAAGAGATTCCTCCTAATTCTAAAGAATGCATAGGAATTTTACACAAAGACTGCAGCAAGTATAACAATTCGAACACAACATGAGAAGCTTCTGAAAAGGATTTACAAATTAAGTGTTTTAATTTTAAGTTAGGCCAAAAGATGTCAAGGGATGACAATTAAATCAAATTATGAGCAGCTATGAATAACTACATACTTCCACCACAGGACTGACCACTGAACAAACTCAGGTGCCTGAAGCAGCTATAGCAGATACTTGGTCATTTGCCACAGGCCGTGTGCAATGCAAGCATCCCCTACAGTAATGACAAAAGATAAAAACCAGATTACCAGTTATAACTCAAGTGCCAAGGGACAGTGTGACAAAAAGGCACATAAACTTGTCAGAGTCCTACTTTTGCTATCAAGGACTAAGGAAAAAGCATTCTGTTCTGGGCCACATTCCCTGGCCCGAATGAAGGTTCACACTCACATTCCAAAATCTAAATGAAAACCACACCTGAAGCTCTGGTGAAGTTTACATTTAGCATCCTGACCAACTCTTCCATTTTCTGATGAGTTAATACCTGCACTACACTTGTGTTTTTTCACACAATATTTAATTACGCTACTTTAGCTCATTACCTGTATTCCTTGTTGAATATTTTCACCTCTTTTAAAACCAGCTCTTTGACATATTTTGTTTCTCTGAAGCTGATTTCTTAGTCCATGTTTCCTAGTCACATCTTGGGGCATGTACTGAACCAAGATCAAAATGTAGATCAAATAGCTTCAAATTGATGCCTTGCTCCCCTACAATAACATTTGCTCCCCCAGTATAATACAAACTTCTTTGGATTTAGTCCTTCATGTAAACCATCATCTTCTCCAGAAATACAATCTTTTCATCCACCACATTTTTGCCAACTAACAGTCCCCTGCCGGCACTCCCACTGGAAACTCAGTGAAAGAAAACAGTACTTAAAATTCTTTAAATCAATGTACCCAAAAGGGGCTAACACTCTCTCTGCACTTTTCTAAAACCAGCACTGACTACAGACACTCACGTTTCTCCTTCCAATGGCATCACCTCAGTTACTTCAGAATGAGACACTGGAACCTGTGTGCAGTTACTGGCAAACAGAATTTATTCTGCTCTAGGAACTGTACAGAACTCTGTAACAGTGTTAAACCATCTGAAATGCATTCCTAGCCCTTCTTTGCCTAAATAACGCCGAGTGAACCATACAGCTAGAAACTAAAAAGTTGCCAAAGACAACTACTGCTTTAGTCACACAACTCAGGCAGTGTATTTTGTGATTTCTACAAAGTACACACTGCCCTGCTCAACCTCCTGAAAGCACCTCCTCTAACAGCTTTATGTGGCACTTCTATTTAAACTACTGGGATGCTGAGCTCATCAACTCAAAAAATTTGCTTTGTGAAAGAGCATTTGTTGAACAAATTCAGAGGCCTTATACAAGATGTCTGAACTGCAGTGTGTGAAGAGAACTGGTAAAAAATACAAGAGATGGTAACTACAGGGATAGTAAGCACAGAACTACAGAGATAGTAACTCTCTAGAACTACAGAGATAGTGAACAAGTCAGTAAAATCGTATTTCCTCAGGCACTACAGCAGCTCATTCATTAATGATATTAAGTCAAAAACACTTTTTTTTTTTTTTTCCTGTTAGGCAAATTTATCATATTCTAGTTTATCCTGTCATTTTGAAACTGGCTGCTACTGAGAGCATCGCAATCCACCAATGTGCCACGTGCATAATCTTCCAACCCACTCCGCTGCACCGCACTGGAGGGACTCTGTGCCCGGCTTATTCCCAGAGCCACGGAGAGCTCTCAGCCCAGGGGAGGTCACAGCCCGCCCGTGGGCTCTCCCTGCTTGGGGCGTCCCATCGCGGAAACGCTGGCATACACTACGACCACAATTTCAGCACCACCAACAAGCTGCACACACCCTTTTCCTTTAAGCTCTTCCGTGGCAGCCTCGTGCGACTCCACCTTTCCCGTGCGGCAGGCGCCGCGGGCTGAGCCCCTGCAGAGAGCAGCGCCACACCCGGCCGCTCGCCCTCCCTCAGGGCTCTGCCCGCCGCCGGGGCAGCCCCTGCGCGGGCCCGCGGGCGCCCCCGAGGCGCGCGGCGCTGCCCCGTGACCCGGAGCGAGCAGCACCATTGGCCGCGCGGCGCGGGCTCGAGGCGGCCGCGGGGAGACTTCGCGCCTGGGCTTGGCGCATCTCTAAGGCAGTCCTGGGGCTCCGAGTCTTCGCGAAGGCGCTCCGGGATGCTCTCTCTCCTTTCTAAGGCGGTCTCCTACTTGTGGAGACGCGCAGATGACGAAGATGAGAGATGGACGACCTCTGGTAGGAATTCCGGGCCCGTTGTGGGTTTGTGCTGCAGCTTCTGAGCTGTGAGGTGTGCTCGTCCCCCACGTGACTGGAGCTGAGTGCAGACCTGTTTCCTTAAGAAAGGATGTAAGGAGGAGATTGGGATGATAAAGGCATCATTTTGACTGCAGAGCATGTGGAAGTTTTCTCGGAAGTGCTTTTTTGCCGTTTCCTGGGTAGGATAGATTAGTATTGCTGCTGAGAGTATGGAGTAAGGAGTAGGAGCAGTGCCCTGGCAGCCAGGTGGGCCAGTCGTGTCCTGGGGTGCACAGGCACAGCATCGCTGGTGGATGAGGGGGCATTGTCCTGCTCTGCTCTGCTCTGCACTGGGGCAGCCTCACCTCAAGTTCTGGGGCAGTTTCAGATGCCTCAATACAGGACCTACATCAAACCATTGTAGTGAGTCTAGTGGAGGCTGAGCAAGATGGTGAAAGGTCTCGAGGGTGTGACTTAGGAGGGGCAGCTGTGGTCACTAGACTTGTTCAGCTTGGAAAAAAGAAAGCTGAGGTGTGACCTCATCACAGTCGACACCTGCAGGCAGGGTGCTGGTCTTCTCTTAGAGTACCAGGGACAGGATACAAGGACATGGAAGGAAACTGCATCAGGAGTTTGAATTGGACAGTGGGAAAAGGCTCCTCACTGGGAGAGGGTGGTCAGCCACTGGAACAGGCTTCCCAGGGAAGACACCAAGCCTGTCAGAGTTCATGGGCCATCTGGATGATGCACTGAGTCACGTTGTTTAGTTTTAGGTAGTCCTGTGAGGAGCAGAGAGTTAGACCCCCGTGATCCTTATGGGTCTCTTTCAGTGTGAGATATTCTATTAATTTATTTTTTAATGGAGCTTAAAGCATGTTGGTTTTAAAATGTAGTTTGTATTTAACTAGCTTTCTTAATTGGTTAAAACCATAAATTGCCATAAGATTCAAGACTTAATTATGAAAATAATTAGTTGGCAGCTGTTGCTATTTCCAGTTGGCCTTTTGGTAGAATGCATATCCCTTTTAGTAGCATTCATAACTTTTTGCACAGTTCCATAAACAAGTGATTTGGGTTTATGTCAACACTTTTCCTTTTGATGCAGGTGATAAAGAATTGAAAAGTGTACAAGGAGTAGTGACAAGACTTTGCCATGATTATGGGATGATAGATGACACGATAGTCTTCACAAAGGATGTTGTTACAAAAAACATATTGCTGGCTGTTGGACAAGAAGTTATTGCCACTGTGGAAGAGGATAAAACATCAGGTGGCCTGAAGGCTGTCAGGGTAAGAGGTGAAGATAAATAGTAGTCTCACTTTCTCCATAAGTACCTTTGGGCTTTGTTTTGGAAGTTACTGTAGTTTTAGCCTCACAAATTCTACAAAATAGGATAAATTGCAAGCTGTTCACCTAGAGGGGATAATCTGGGGTTTGTGGGTCATTTTATTGTTTCGTTCCATCTCCTTTCAAATTATGTTTAATACTGATTCTCTGAATACAGTTGTAGATGTAGTGAATAAGAAGCCATTAGTTGAGATAATTGCGTCAGAATTTTAGTCGTAGCTACTCCAGATCTGTGTAACTTCTGAGTTTCAGTCAATTTTTTGTTACTGTTATATGAATGGATAAGAAAATCAAAGAAATTTGATCTTGTGCAAAGTTTGCTCTTTTTGTACAGTGTGTTCTTGTGAATAAGAACAGAAATTTCAAAACTCCCTGTTGTAAAAATTGGTAACTTGATGTTATAGACAATTACAAAAATGGAGATCTTCTATGTTTTTTGCTTAACACCTCATTTGTATACCTGTTTCGAGCATGATTATACCTTGTCAGTTTTGAGGGAAGTTTTTCTTAGCAAATCATGTTGAAACCAAATGTAGTTTCATTAATTAAATGAAACCAAAGAAAGACTTAATGGGGAACCAGTTTTATTCTGTGACCCAAAATTAAACATGGAAGAAAAGTAAACAGTAAGTCTTGTTTCTAAAGTATTACCAAGTCTAGTACTATCAAAAACCTGGTGTCTTGTAAGATAACTTTATATCTCTTCTTATTTCCTTTTGTTTCTCCTTTTTAAATTTAAATTATTTTCATGCATAAAAGCTAAGTATTGTTTATCCAACAAGCAATATCAGTGCTGTTTTGTAAAATAATATACACAGTCAGAAAATTGATTAGTTTAAGTCTTACTTTTTCTTCCTTGTTTTTATTCTGACTGACAGCTTTCACCATACGGTTGAAATACTGTAATTGCTCCAAAATACATAAACCTGGTAACTGAGAAACTGCATATGGATCTACAAAGCAACTGGAATATTGTAACAGTTGTGGCATGTTTTGCTGTATATTCTAGAATATAGATAATGGCTTTTTGAAAAGTATGATGATTTTTCTTATTCCTGTTTGTGAGCTGTAATCCTGCAGGCATCTCAGACTGTTGGCAATGTAGTTTGTGGCTGGGTGAAAAGCTTTGAGACAAGTTCCTGTCAAAAGCTGACTATACTCCATGGAAAGTCAAAGTCCAAGGGCAGTCTTGATTCAGTAAGGAAGAAGATAAAGCTAATTTCTTCAAAGTCTAAGAGCAGCAATAAAAACCATTCTGTGTTTTGTGATGTGTTGTCTTACTTTCCATATAGCAGCACAAATTTGAGATACTCTGAGCATATGATAAGAACAGATTGTAGTTGTTTTGCATGGTGAAGAGCTAAGTCCTCTTTCAAACCCCTAGTCAGAGAAGAAAATTTCGCTTCGTGGCGAGCATCATTATTACCTACTATACAAAAAGATGCTTGAACATCAGTACTATCACTTAACTTTGGGTTTTAAGTGATCTTAAAGGTACTCCTCTAATTGCAGGCAGAAGCTCTGAAGCCTGGACACTGCCAATGCAGTTTGGGGCAGGATCTGGAAGGCTCTGTTCCAACTTTGGTGGTGTCAGTGTGTTTATGTTGCTTGCTTTAAGGAAGAGTGTGGTCAGCCTTGGGTGCCTCTTTGCTCAGTGTACTGTTTCAGCTGCTGTTTGGAGCTACTGGCCATGTGGTTTGGAAAGATCATGGCTCAAAAGTTTGGATTTCAGTTTATTTGAGGTCCAGTCCTAATTAAACTCTGCATGGAATGATTATTGGTTCTGTAGCAGGCTTTAAAAACAGGCTGCTACCAGTGGTAGTAGGAAGGCCATTTTAACCAGTATGAAAAAAACCTTTAGTTTTATTAGGTAGAGAAAAATAGAGAACTTTCAAAAGAAAATGTATGTTGGGAGTTTTAAGGTGTTTTCATGTTGTAAAAACATTTCTTTAGGTCTACAATTTACTTTCAAGTGTAACTGCATGTGTAGTTTACGTGAAATGTAAATTTACTATTCTTCTGAGGAACAGTTTGCTTATTCTTGTTCTATCCATATGAAGCCATAAAAATCACTTTGGAGAAAGTTTGATATTTCTCAGCATCTTCCTGGTGAATGGGAAGATATGTCTGTCAGGCTGGAACAAAGTATAGATTTTTCTTTAATTTTTTTTTTTTACTGTGAGTTTTCATGTTGTTGAAGAAATATCATGTAATAGTAATTATTTTAATGCAATAAAACAATATTGGCTAAAAAATAAATAGCTATTTATAGTCAACTAGTGTCTGCAAACCTCTGAAGTATAGGTAGACTTAGGCTATTCATTACTATTGTAGACAGTAAGCATTATGTTCAGCAAAATAAATCATATAAAATTTAGTATGATAATGTGCTTCAGATTGGATCAGACTTCAGTGAACTTACATGTGAAGTGGTGATATGAACAGTCTGTTAGAAACAGCTCTAGGGGTTTTCTTAATCAAATTACTAAAAAGTGACAGGGTCAGTCTGAAATACATGTAGTGTTTATAAATACCGTCTTGAAAACATGCTTTTTGCTTTCTGAAACAGTCATTTTCTACTTCCAGTTGTGTACAGACACATTGCAGGATGTGGTGTTCCTGTCAATTGAAGGAAAAATCTTATGTAGACCTAGAGCAAGGGATGCGTGAGAAAGATTTGAAAAATCAGCATGTAATTATAGCAGTTGTCAGCACTGCCGCATACAGCACTTTTAAAAAGAGAAGTTTTAAAGTTTCTCTTTAAAAGAGAAGTTACTGTTTATTACTTACTTTTTTTGTGTCCAAAAAGTAACAGCTGCAGTAAGTAATTGTATAATAAGAAGCTTTGTCTCCATAAGCAATTGAAATTTTGTATATTTATTGTAGGACTATGTATTTAAGTCTAAGTGTCAACTGTTTAAATGTTTGGGTTATTTTTGTCTTAATAGGTAGACGCCATCCAGAATACACAAGAAGACTCCCATCCTACTTGTGATGCCTCTGAAGTAAATAAGAAAACATTAATTGGCAGCATTACCTCTCTCTCTGTGGATGGCGGCTATATTAATCAGAATACATATTTTGCAATGCAAGATGTCTGGGAAGGTGTGTAGGGACTTCTTGTTTCCTCTTTCTTAATATTTTTGTGTATACAATAGAAATATCTTCTGATAAACTTGCAGTTGTCATCCTAAATAAATTCCAATAGAATATGTGGTGAAACATAGTGAAACAGCCAGACATGGATGGAGAAAGCTGCCTGTTCATTCTCACTTATGCATTTAAGCATAAGTTACATGTAAGCAGATGTATTTTTCAACTAGCATCTCCTATGTAGTTTGCCATAACCTGCAAAGCAAAGGACTGCAAAGAAAACTTTGGACTCGGTGGGTCTGAATAATGCATTGTTCTGGCTTTTATTTAACTTACACTAATTCTGTAGGGAAGTAATGTAACTGTTATCGATAATAATTAACCTTAAGAAATGTTCTGTTTTGTATAGATTTCAAACCCTGTGAAGGTGACTGGGTGCAAGCAAAATATTATATTAACTCGACAACATGGAAGACTGAAGCAGTTGCTGTAAGGCCTTTGAGGTATAAACAAGTAAACAAGGTAAATGTTCTGCACGTTGTTTTTGGCAGTAGGAATCCTGGGTGAAGTGAGGTTTCAAATTGGTTTCAGTTACAAATATTGGTAGATCTTCTATAACATATCTTTAATTAAAAGATAAAACATATTAATTCATCCATTTAGAACATGTTTGTAAAATAATAAGGCGTTTTGAAAATGCATACATATTTTGAGTTGAACACAAAGAGTAACTAACATCTATTATGAATTGCTGATTTGAATTCTTACTCTTAGTTATGATGAGGATGTGTCATGATTGGGGAATTTATCAAGTTTCGTTTATTCAAGTGTTTCAGCTTAAAAACAACCACAGGCCCTTCTTTTTATTTTAAGGAAAATATTTATTTGCTGTAGTAATGCATATGCTATGCTACGTTTATGGTTTATTGTCTTTACCTTAACCCTGTATATTGAATATTTGCACTTCAAGCGTAGGAAAAAATTTGCCTCATTACTACTAATATGGAAATATAAATTAGGTAAGCTGACATGTCACAAGGAAGGTATCATGGTTAAGTCTGGTGTGCATATTGTAGTATGCCCTTCAGTGGAACTTAATGATTGTGTGAAGTACTTGTGTTTCTTTACTCTTTGAAATCTGAAGACAAGCACAGTGATTCTGGGTTAGGGCTCTGTGTTTACATCTGTATTCTGTTACCTGAATAACTGAAATTTCAGAATGCATTTTTATTAATGCTAGAAGGGCTGCTTCAGGTGAAAAAATAGTATGTCTGTTGGCTTAAAAAGATAATATCAAGTAACAGTGAATACAAACTATTTCAGGTTCGCATTTCCAGCGTCTGTGGAAGAACTGGGACAGTAGATGACAGTATATTTTTCACTTTGGATTCACTGAGACTTCCTGATGGTTACTTGCCTCGTAGACATGATCTAGTGAACACGATTGTGGTGGAGAGCAGTCAGTCCTGTTACATTTGGAGAGCTCTCTGCTTGGTGCCAGTCAGCCAGGATGGGTAACATTATTTTGTTCTCTTTATAGCAGAGCTATGTGGTGTAGTTATGCAGCTGACATTTTGTTGCATCTATTAAGCAAGAAATACTGTGACTATTTCACTAGTTGACTAGAAAGTATAAAAGATCGCTGGAAAAACCAGAGCATGATATGATTTGGCCCTTTTTTTGGGTTTTTTTCTCCTTCCGGAAGTTTGGAACACGAGTGCTACTAGAGAAGCAAACTAGTAGCAGCTGCTCTCAGGGATATTGCTAGGCAGGAAAGGAGTTTTGCATGCATGTTAGTAAAATGCCAAGTTCATTGTGCTCCTCTTGTAGGGACTTCGCTGTTTGAAAACAAATAGCAGCAAAATTCATATAAAATACATGTTTCTTTAATCTATTTGTCTTAAGTTACAGTGATTGTTCAGATATTTGTCCTAAAAGGAAAAGTTTCGTGGTTGAAATAATAGATTAATTTGGCCTGCAAGTATTAAACTGGGAGGTTTTGAAGGGACTTTAGATGTTTTATGTGGTATGAGGAGGATCTGGATACACTGCAGAAGAGATTGGAAAAAGATCTTCAGTATGGAGAAGAAACAAAATTTAGGGAAGTAATCAACTACACAAAAGTAAAATGGGCAACTAATCAATAATGGACCTCAGCAAAGATCTGGAATTTGCCTTGTGAGTTTGTGTCTGTCCTGTGAAAGGCACAATTACCACCTGAATAAATAGATCTGTACTGTAAAATCTATCACTTTCCATGCTGAGGTCTTGGCAGGATTACGTAGTCTAACTCTGCAGGCCAAAAATAAATTGTCAATTGGAAAGTCCAAAGGGAGAGCAAAAGGACATTCTGATATGTTTCAGACATCATCTTTGGGAGATCTCAAGGAGATTTTGCCAAGGCCATACGGCCATATATAAATGTCTTCAAAGGATCTACAAATAACTATATAAGCTGTTTTCTCTAGAGATAACAGATGTAATATATTGTACCTAAATGAAAAAAAGTGTTTACATCATTTTGCTAAACAGTACAAGTTGTTCACATCCTTTTTTTTCAGTTGCACCTGGTTGTAATGATAGATTTTATATAGAAAATTATTACTGAAGTCAAAATACAAAAGTAGACCTTAGGGGTTGATTTCTCAGGTTTAGTGTACATCTACCGTATCAAAAACTGCAGCTTAGGCTGCAGTGGGAGACATCTAGTGGGCTTGGCTAGTAAATTGATATAGCTAATGAAAAGCAGCTGCACTCATTTTCTGCTTCAGTATGTCAGATAACTCAGGAAAACTGAGGGTGTGTACATATTAGTGAAATTATTAAAATATTTCTAAATTATTTCCATGCCACTTTATCTAAATAAGTAGTTTCCTAATTACAGAATAGAGACAATGTGAAAATTTGTTTTTACAGGTAGAAGACGCCAAGAGTTTAGACCTGTGCTCAGTGTTTCAGACAGTAAAGAGCATGTGCCTGGTTTCATAGGCATTTTTCATTAGTTGTGTGTGATAAAAGTTTTCAAGGGGAGTTTTTGGTTTTCAACTTTTTTTTGTCCTCAGCTTGCTGGTTTCAGATAGGAACAGTAAGCAGAAGACACAAGTGCGTAGGTTGAAACACTTCCAGTCTAGTAATTTTATCTCTTAGCTGCAGTGCTAATTGTGACTCTTGCTAAGGAGCTGCTCTTTGTTGTGTCTTTGCTCAGCTCCCAGAGAGAGCCATAATGACTTCACTCAACATTTGATTTAGCCCTTCAGCAGGGATTCGTTAACTCCTCAGTCATTTTAGTCTTGCATCCAAAGTTTTATGCTGGTTTATTGTGCTGCTGACAAAAGACTTGTTGCTGCTTAAATTAGTTAATCTAATTGTCTTGGAAGTATAAATGGCTGAGAAAAAAATGAACTATCTCACCTGCTTGTTTCTAAATATCGTGACTGTGCCTTGGTATAGTGTTTCTTCAACTTGTCCAGAATCAAAGATAGCAAAAACTGCTACATAAAATTATTTTTGCAGACAATCTCACTCTAATGAAGGTAATGTGGATGAGCCTTATGAAGACATAATGAGAGACAAAGGAGAGTTGAAAGTATCAAGAGTGACTGACTTTGGAACTCTGAAGCAGGGGGAATCTAAAAGAATGATTGTTTGGATAGAGTAAGCCTTTCTGATTGTTTGAAGATTTCTTTATTTCTATCACTCTAACTGTTAACCTGTTTTACATTCACAAGTCTCTTGTAGTTGAGCCTTGTGGTTTTTTGATGTTCAAGTAACCGCCAGATACTATGGAATTAAATTCACACTGAATTTAATGTCTGTGAGCATTTATCTTGCAGATAATGCTTTGAGACTCCCCAGTCCTGGATCTCTTTTCAATCCTAGTAAAATCCTTTCTAGAACAAGGACTGAAGCAAAAGCTTTTGCTTGTGTGTTTAACTTAAGCTGCAGATACTCTGCCATCTTCAAAATCTTAGAACAAGAGGACTGTTGCATATTTATGTATTAAAAGAAGACCATAATTTTAGGGTTTTTTGGGGGCTTGGGTTTGTTGGGGGTTTTTTTGTTTGTTTTTGGTTTTTTGTTTTGTGAGCTTGGATGCTGAAGAGCTATGTTGGTGTATCCTTAGGAGGGTTTTGTTTTGGTGGTGGGGGTTTTTTGGGGGTTGGTTGGTGGGGGTTTTTTGTGTGTGTTTTCTTTTTCACATCTGGGCATCAAGGCTTAAATGAAGACAAACCTGCATACCCATTCTTTGTTATTCTATGTTCTTTCCTAAGAGTTGGTTACCCAATAATGAACTTTAAGCTCCCATTGTTTGTATTATACATGGTATTTTTATATGCTCTATATGGTAGTTGATGCGACCTAGAAATATTAGCATAAAGCAGAGGTGAAGCAGAAGTGCAATTTCTTTCTGGTAGCAATTATGAAATAAGGGGAACTAGCCTGCTGCAGACAATTGTGTTTGACTTCAGGTAGAAATAAACTTCTCAAGAATATTCACCATGCACTTAATTACGTAACTAATCACATAACTACTTCTAGGAATAAAGGGAGTGTACCACAGTCCTTAATCAGCTGCAGATTAGCTGGATGGGTGAAAGACAAGCAATTCAGTGTTGAGATTCCTCAAAACTGTGAGAACAGTCCATCTTTTCCAATAAATCAAGAAAACCTCTCAAAAGCTGCGATTAATTCATTTAACGACAATGGAGAAACAGCATGTGAGTCATTGAACCATACATCCATTGTGAAGAATGGAGTCATTCCAGGTACAGTGAAATGACAGTGTTTGAATGTTGAATGTTAGTTCCTCATAAGACCAGTAGGTCTTTGCTTAAGAACACTTGCCTGTGTTAGCAATAGAAATTGTGATAACAGAGTTTATTGTTATACATTTACTACAGAAGGAATTAATTTTGAAGACACAAATTTATCAAGGACAAAGGAAAACAATTCCTCAGTGAAAGATGAAAATACACAAAATGGAGAAAGTGAGCAAAAAGACCATGTGGAGCAACCAACTAAGCACAGCAATATTACTCCAGAAATTGTGATAGCACCAGGTGAAAAAATATTCATAGTGATTATATGCACGGCTGTGTAAGTATTTCTTTCCATTTTTTCTAACCAATACAATGGCAGGAAGTAATGAAAATAGGCATAACAGTTCTGTTTCTGAGCACAGTTCTCTTCTTGGCATGTTGTGCTTTAACCCCAGCTGGCAACTAATCCCCATTCAGCTGCTTGCTCACTCCTTCCAGTGGGGTGCCAGGGACAATGGGAAGAGTAAAAGTGAGAAAACTCATAGGTTGATATAAAGACAGTTGAAAAGGTAAAGCAAAAGCCACTAACAGAAGCAAAGCAAGGAATTCATTCACTTCCCGTGGGCAGACAGGTGTTCAGCCATCCCCAGGACAGCAGGGCTCTATGACGCATGATGGTGACTTGGGAAGACAAATGCCATCACTCAGAATGTCCTCCCTTCTTCCTTCCCCCAGCTTTATGTACTGAGCATGATGTACTATGATCTGGAATATCCCTCGGGGCAGTTGGTGTCAGCTGTCCTGGCTGTGTGCCCTTCCACCTCCTTGTGCACCCCTGGACTCCTCAATTGTGGGACAGTATGAGAAGGGGAAAAGTCCTTGATTCTGTGCAAGCCCTTTTCAACACTGTAAAAACATCCCTATGCTATCAACACTTTTCAGCACAGATCAAACCAGAGCCCCACACTAGCTACTATGAAGAAAATTAACTCTACCCCAGTCAAAACAGGCACATGGTGTAGTGTAAAGTAAGCCAATACATATTAGCAAATCATCTGGAAATTTATGTGACTTTGAAAGTAGTTACCATTTCAGTGTTTGATTATGAATTTTTATTGACAGAAAATTATAGTAGCTAATGAAGCAATATGAGTGGGAGTAGGTTACATCTCTAAAATGACACAGTGAGGGGAAGATAATGCCTGCAGATGGATATTTCTTAATAGTAAATCCACTGCTCTGTGAGCACCAGAGCTAATGCAGATTTCCTGTGTTATGTCTGATGTGTTTCTTCTAGTCCTTAGTATCTGGTATTGCTACATGCCCTGATCTCAAGTTTTCCTGTTCTGTGATGGGAAATTCAAGTTACATATGCTGAAATATAAAAAAAAAATTTCTTCACTGACGGTGTCATTCGCAGAGGAGGTGGTTTACAAATCTTAGAAAACCTTTGAAAAACAAAAAATACTCAGCTATACAAAATACTTTATTCATTTAGTCAAGAATAGAAGGTGGCTTTGTGGGAGCTCCTGCATTCAAGTAGGAGTAGGAACCTTACACGGCAAAGCTTATATTTGTATAACTTTCACTTGCTTCCAGCTGTAGCTCTGCAGACTTTGTGTTCCACAGCCATTGATTCCTAGGGTGGTAAAGGAAAAGCTGGACAGAGGAAAACAAGGTTTCCTTCATTGAAGTAATGCTGCAATAATATTCACACTACTTCTCTTATTTTAAATAGTGAAGTAAGGGGTAAAAAAATTCTTAGGAGGATGATTTAGCTGTAGTTTGTAGGATAGAGCTGCAGGCATGGCTTGCTTTCTTGGAGATAGACATGTAGAAAGAATGATTTATATTTTGGTGTAAATCCATAAAAGCCACAAAGTCTTAGAATCTTCTAATGATACAGAGTAAGCCACACAAAGCTTCATGGGAGGCTGCAGCATGAAGTTAACAAGTGTTTGCTGGCCACTTAAGAGACCATAGAGACTGCAAATGTAGACCATAAATTGGACAGTTTGGTGTCTGTTTTGAGTTTTTATAACAGAGAAAACCAGGGTATAGTTTTAACCTGAGCAGGTAGTCTTAGTTGGCAAAAGTGGTTTTCCTGCCAAAGAGAAAGTAAGCTGGAATTCTTCTGGGATGCATTTGTTTCAGGCACGTGGTAGCACTGTTGGAACATGTAGTTGAGAATTGCGCTGTAGCAGTGCTTAAGTTTCATAGAAACCAGTCTGAACAAATCTGGTTTTTTCGCATGTGTCACTGCCCAAGCAACACTTGCATGTATAAAGTATGTTAGCCAGATTTAGAGGATTTTTCCTACTTTCTCCACTCCATGTGTTTAGAGTTAGGGTTCAGTTGTGAGTAGCCTTTCACAAGGTGCTGCAAAGCAGTTACTGCAGACAGTGAAGGGGTTTGCTTCAGGTTCCTCTGATGGACCTATTTGGCTCTTCTTTTGCAGTAGCAGTAATTTCAAGATGTTCCTTGTAACAGAAGTATTAATTATGTACCCTAGTATATTGAGTGGAGGGATTTTGCATTTTGCCCAAGGTTTTGATGATATTGTGGGTTGAGATTTTTGCTGTGGCTTTGAGTTGCCATTTTTTGGTCAGGTGGGTGAGTGGCTTGGGTGGGTTTTTTAATTATTTGGGATTGAACTCGAGGTGGGGAGTGTGAGGAATTACCCTAAATTAGCAATTTTCATATGTAACTGAAATGAGAATGTATCTCATGGCTGAGGAATGTGAAGTGTGACCATGTTGGTTTTAAGAAGATAACTTCTGTTTACTTAAAGGATCCATGGACACAGTAAAGAGCTCCTGTTGCTTGGCTTTTCTGATTTTACTGTTGGCCGCTATATTGAAGCCACTGTAACAAATGAAGAAGAATTACTTATAGCACCGGTACAACCTTATTCTCCAGGAAAGCCTAAGAATATTCCAGATTCTCAGCTAAGGAAGACAACAGTGGCTGCTCCTAAACATAAAAGGTATTGTCACTTGGAGCATAAAATAATACTTACCTAGCACTGCTCTATTTGGTATTGTTATATCTGTTCTGTAATGCTGAGAAAGAAAATGTGAAACTGGGAGAATCTGTACATGTTTTTATATATACATATATATGTTGTAAACAAGATTATTGTTGACATTTCTGATAGAAGAGGTTGTTTTAGTAATTAACTGCTTGATTTCTTTGTAGGTTTTTCAAATAGAATCTCTAATGTGTAGTGTGGTAATAAGATAAAACACTTCCTTAGTTATCTACTTAGTAATGATTGTGTTATTTAGGAAAAAAATGGGAAACTGAAAATAGTTTTCTGAAATAATAAGCTTATTAATTCTTTACACAACTTTAATGTCTACATCTGACTAATGTCTCCCATCTTTCATTCAAAACTTTTGTTGGTGGTTGTCCATCTTTCTAATTTGTGTACATCTCTTCAGCACCGCTCTGCATCTGAGGGAGTCCTCAGCTCCTCCCAATTTAGCGTCGGTATACCTTCAAATTTGGCTTCCAAGTCATTTGAGAGGATGTTGAAGAAAACTAGCTCTAAGATGGTGCCCTGTGAAACCCCACTAGGGACAGGTCACCACTCAGATGTCACCCCCTTCACTATAACCCTTTGTGCCCAGCCTGTGAGCCAGTTGCTCACCCATCACATGATGTGTTTATCCAGCTGTGGGCTGGTTATTTTGTCCTGAACGATCCTCTGAGAGACTCCTCTGAGAGACCGTATCAAAAGCTTTACTGTCTTGTGGTGACATCAGCCAGGTCTTTGACTATTCAGATGAGTACCATCAGGTCCCATAGACTTACAGCAATCCAGCAGAAGCAGCAAATCCTGCAGAAGTTCAGGTTTGGCTTGGAGTTTGTTGTTCTCAGTCATGACTCTCCAGCTAAGGGCACTGGCACTCCCTTAGCCCCCCATTGATGTTGAAGACAGAGGCAAAGAAAGCATTAAACATTTCTGTCTTTTCTATGTCCCTGTGTGTGAAGTGACCATCCTCATCCTGTAATGGGCTGATAATGCTTTTTGCTACTGGCATATTTTTAAAACTTTTTCTTGTCCCCCACATTACTGGACAGCTTCATCTTCAATTGAGCTTTGGCCACATGAATTTTTTTCCCTACAGTGTCAAGGAGCGTCTTTGTAAGATCTTTTACCTTTTTTCTCAGTATAACAAACTTCTCAGTTTGTTATATGACTTTGAAGGAGTCATTAGCCTGTTGTGTGTGTATATAATCTTGGTGATGTGGCATGTTAATCAGCTGTTTTTACATACATGACTTAAGCAACCTAAATGTTATGTTGTACATTTTCATTTTAGAAATAAGAGAAGGTGGTGTTCAAACTTTCTCCCACATTATACCATACCAGATGAGTTAAGAAAATGTGTGGAACAGCAGTTAGACATACTGACCTTTCAGCCCCTCCTAGCAGAGGTAAGTATAGGTTTTATATAAGAAATATTTTCTGATACGGTGTTTCTGTTCAAGCACCCTTAACTTAGGAAGAATGTATAGTCCTTAGTGTAAGAGAAGATGACAACACTTGTCAAGTAGACTTAAACTTCAGTTTGGATCCCATAACTTCCCTGGGTTTCAGTATGTTACAGAATCCAAGCTTACAAAACTACAGAAGCATAAATGGGAAAATCTGAAAAGAGAGTTGAAGTGTCTTGGGGGTGGACGTCACAGAAGCTGAACAAAGCTCTGTATTCTCACTTTTTAGGCATTACTGGAAGGAGTTTTTTGAGGTGTCAAAAAAGTTGCTATTTCGTAGGAAATTGCAATCTCTTAAATTACTGCAATAACAGAAGATTCTTTCTGGTTGTTCAAAATTGTTTTCTTAAACATCTTCAGATTTAATTCACTATAGCTTGTTCAAATTCTCCCCACAAGTACAGCAGTTTCGGAATACATATAAAACACCCCCAAAAAAGCTATAAAGTCTTAACAAGAATACTACAATGATTCCTTGTCCAAAACTTTGCTCTGGCTGCAACTCACTTGTTTTTGTGAATTTTAAGTACTTATAAACTGGAGCTGACACTTTTTTAAAATGTAAAAGGCTGTATTGTCTGCTGACTAAACATCTGACATTAAACTTGGGATCACAGCACTAAGTTAGTAGGCTAGACATCCTCTCTCAAAAAGGAAGATAAAGCTCTGTGGTGTTTATAATAATTTTGCACTGAAGACCTGCCATTAATGGTTAATTTTTTTTAACCAAACCCTAACCTTAGATAGAACTTGGTACTATTAGAGAATACCTCTGCAGTAAGATTTGTTAAGCTGTGAGGGAGAAAATTCAGGTTCTTTCAGCTCACCATAATTGACATGACATGACTCTCTCTTGTCCATGTATTTAGATTTTTTGCTTTCTGGGCATAAACTGAGCATAGAACTCCGTTTGTAAACTGCCCCTGAATTCAGATGGTGAAACTGCTGCTGTAGTAGTGAGAGGCCTGGTTAAATCTTTAGCTGAGGGGCTATTGTATTTGAGCTCAAGGACTATACTAATCTCACTTTGGCTATTAAGCACGTTTAAAATACTATCTATATCTGTATTGATGCATGTATTTAGGTATCCTGTTTGGCAACCCAGTTGCTGTGCAGTCTGTCTCAAGAAGTGTTTAATGTTAGCAATAGTGGGTTCTATATCTTAGTGTATAACAATAACGTATGCTGGGTTGTTTTTTTTCCAGCGTCTTAATCTAGATAATTATAAAGCAAACTTTTCTACTCTTTTATGGCTTGAAGAGATCCAAGCAGAAATGGATTTAAAAGATTACTACATGAGTGGGGTTACTTTAAAAAGGAATGGGAACTTGTTAGTGCTGGAAGTGCCAGGAGTAGAAGAGGGCAGACCTCGCCTGATTCCAGGTAGAAATGAACGGGAGATAAGGTCAAATGGCATGTTGATCTGTGTTTTCACGATGCAAACTATATTGTTTATTCATTTGTTTAAAGAAGTCTTTCAGATATTTGAGTACAAAATTATTAATTTAGGCTACTAGACAGGGGACTAGGGACAGGGGACACAAGGACACTGTTAGTGTCTCAGTCTTACAGTGACTGCTATCTGAAGCAGCATTGCATGTGTCTGTTCTTACGGAGGTTTCAATACTTTAGGACTTTTCTTTTACAATAATCAGTGGGGTTTTCAGCAAAAATTGTGCAATGTAGTAATAGCTTAAAAAGCAACAAGTGTAGCAAAAAAGCTGGGAAAGCAGCTAAAATTAAATTAATAATTTCAAGTAATATAATATACAAGATCGTGTTTTCAAGAGGTGTTGTCTGATGGCATCAGTACTAGATGCCTTTTATAATATACAACTGTATATGGCATTTCAAAACAGTACTGATCAATACAGCAATTTTGCTGAAGTTAGTCTCTTCCAAATTCCTAGTTTAAACATGCAGAAGGAAAGGAGAAATTACATGCTCCTGTGAAAATGTTACTATTCCTTGTAACAGTATTTTGTCTTTTAACTTTGTTTTCAATTAGGTGATAAGGTGATACTGAAAACTCAGGTCTACTCTGATCATATAATAGAGTACATTGCCTATGTTGCTGAGGTAAGCAAAATGTTTCTCCTTTTGAAAAAAAATGTGGTTCACAGGTTTTATAAAGGAAGCTTGCAATTCCTGAAGTTAAAGTTATCTTCTCAGAAATCAGGTTAAAATAGTCTATATTTTAACTTATATTTTGAATGGTGATTTTGTATTTTTGTCGTATTTTGACAACTCTGGCTTCCCTATTCTTTTGAGATTATAATCTTTGCCTGCTCTGAAAGCACTTTTAACATAATCTAGATATGTAATGTGTTGTTAGTAGGTAAATCTACATTTACTTTTTGGAGTTTGGGGGGGGGGGGTAAGTCCTTTCAGAGGTGCTTCTTTGTTTAAAGTACTAAATCTTCATCAGTATCCTGACTTTTTTTAATCTTTGTAACAGATATGTGAGGAAGATGTTACTCTTAAGGTTAATGCCGACTTTGAACGTGCTTACAACTTGGAGCCCATGGATGTGGAATTTGTTCATTGCAGGTGTTTTTATAAGCTTCCAGAAAGCTGTGTTTAATGATTCCTCCAGTAGAACAACTTTTAAAATATGACCATCAACTATTTATTTTGGTGGACACAGAAAAAGACATAATTAAGATCTTGGGAATTTTTTCACTTCTTTTCCTCAACACACCTTTGCCACCATATTCATGGCTAAAAGACTGTAACTGTACAAGTGTTCAAAGAGTTGTTATCTTAATCATTTCTAGATAGCCACACTGATGCCAGACAGTAAAATGGGGAGGAATGAGATGGGGTGTTTGGGGGTATTTTTCTTAGGTTTTTTGGGTTTGTTTTCTTTTTTTTTTTAATGTACTAATATGGCTGCAAGACTATGCAGGAAGTAAAAATAGCAGGTGATACCCTCCCATTCTTTTATGCTTTTGTTTTATTCATGGGATGTTGTTTCTGTTTGGAGTTAAATAATATTCTCTGTAAATTCAGCCCTGCAAAGAAGTTCCTTGAAAGTATTGAACACCAGGCCGTCTTTGCAAAGCTGTTTATACTTCTGCAGCATTTTTCTAAGTTGATTTTTAAAAAAAAATACACATTTTTATATAAAATCTTTGGTTTTATGCACAGTAAAAAGTACCAGGTAACTCATAGGAGTGTGCTGTCATAGCATATGGAAACATAAGCTTTTGCTTTAATCTACAAATCTGTATTTTGGTTCCAGTATTCCTAGCAGGCGATGCCAGCTGGCCATTCAGCAAGCTCTCTACCTGGGTGAAAAAGGTACATTTCATTTGACTATTAAGCTGTCTAGAGGAGTTTCTTTGTGTGGAGTATTGTGGGTTTTATTGCTTTCACATTAGGGCATACTGGGAAGAATGCATTGTAATTTGTTCTTACGGGAGTTTTCCGTGCATTAGGGGCTTTTTGGTTTGGTTTTTAAGAAGAAAAAACAATGCTGAATGTATAGAATGTTTTGTCAAAATTACTTCATCTGTTGGCCATCAGGAGGCCAGGCAGGAGGAGAGGAAGCAAACTTTTGTGAAACTGTTAGAGCTAACAAGAAATGTAGGAATCCTGCATACTGCTATAATAATAGCCAGTGAAATGGCCATACTTTGTGTTACTTCAGAAATTATTAAACAACACTGATTTCCTGTTCCGTGGTTGAGTTGAACAATGCATGTGAACTTCATGTCTTCACCACCTTCGTTCTGATAAACCAATTCTGACAGCTCAGGCTAAGCTGATGTATCAACAGCCACATTAATCAGTGAAATATGCAAAGTGTTTGTGTGACTTTCTCTACTTTCTTTTTCTCTGCTAAATTTAGTGTTATTTCCAGAAAGACTTGTGTTACAATCACCACAAGCTATCAAGACCCAGAACACTACAGAGTACTGTGCCGTTGATGATGGCCTTAAACAATCTACACAGCAGGAAAGTAAGGTAACTATTCTGTAAATGTTCCTTAGAAAGTTCCTTCATTCAGACAGGTACCAGATACTTACTGTACAGCTATTGCCAGAAGGGAATTGCATAATGGAGTATCAGAATCAAAGTTGTATTCTGCTGCATTCTAATGACAGAAGTTTTTGTTTGCTGCCTGGAGATTTTATGACAGTTATTACTATAAAGCTTACAAAATGAAAAGTGCTTATTAAAAAATGTGTGATTGTGGTGGAAGTTGTCAGATTTGCCTTAGACTAGTTTTCATAGCTAGTGTTGAGTAGATATGTAAGTGCAGTCAATGTGGCAGGAAATAATTTTGTAATAGAAGATAATCATCCTGTTCTGAGTAGATTGACCCAGGCTTAACTGCCACTTATATTATATTCATAAAATGTAGGAAGGACTTTTGGAAGCTGCCTAATTCTCTTCCTTTTTTGAAGCAAGACTGTCACCAACACTAAATCAAGTCAGCCTGGGGACATGTGGCAGCATTTCTTTATTTTTGTCTAGAGTTTTCACAGTGTCTGCATAACCTGTGCTTCATCACCTTTACACTCAAGATTTTTTCCTAACTCCCTAATTATTTCACCTGCAATTTGTGCTTTATGACAAGGAGTGATCAATCATTCTGGTTTGAAATCAGTATTTTTAAGATGATTGAGGCATGATGTCCAGAACCTTGCCAACACCACATTCCCTACAAGAAGTTTTCTCCTGTGCTACAATCTGAAGGGACATGTCCACCAAGGAAGATGCATGTATCTTTCATAATGGTTTAGAATTTGACTGTTTGCTTTTGTGGAAGCAAACATGTTACATAATTATGGCTTCAAAATCCTCATCTGAGACTGCAGAGTATTTGTGAAATAAATGTTTAGTGTTAACAGAGACAAAGTATTAGAAATCTTAAGCTTAACATGGAAATTCCTGGCACCTCCTACTACTCTTACCTTTTTCTGTCTTAATGGTAAATAATTCTATTTAATGGGAAAAAATTAAAGCTTAGCAACTTCAAAAGTATCAGGGAAGATAGTTGCCTGTCTTCTTAAGGTTATAAATGCATTTATCTTCACTTGCTCTTTTCAGGTCAAAAAAAAGCAGAACAAACAGACAAAAGGTATGACATCAAGGGAGGGGGACATAACAGAGGTGATGATAGTAACTCTGCAAACAAGCCAAACTGGTATATTTTCTGTGCTTAAACGATAAGTATCACATCAGTAAATCGGGGCTAAGTAAGATACCTTTAAGATGTCCTTGTGCTCTGCCTTTAAAGACAAATTCTAGAAATACTAGCAGGAAGTTTCTATGGAGGCTTTTGGTGCATTACTTAAACATCTCTAATTCACAGAATCTAGAACGGTTTGGGTTGGAAAGGGCCTTAGAGATCATCTAGTTCCAACCCCTCTGCCACGGTCAGGAACACCTTCCACTAGCCAGGTTGCCCAGAGTTCATCCAGGCTGGCTTTGAACAGTTTACTTTGGGGGAAGGGGAAGCAAGCATCTGATGATATATTTTTTGTAATGAATAAATAGTTATTTCCCAGTCATTTACTCAAAACTTTTTGATCATATTCAGAGTTTTCAATTTGTTATTGGGATGCTGTCTCTCATCTGTGGGAAAGTTTTGCTAAAGATGCTAAAACTTTTTCAAGTATCCCAGATTATTCTTATGCTTTTTTTTTTTTTTGAAAGTATGCCTTTAAATATCATTGTAGCAAAATGCCTGAGAGTGATCATGTCATTTTTTATCAAAAGTGTGCTAAAGGATTACTGAGAAATTACCTAGAATGCACTTCTGTCCAGAGGTTAATAAGACTCTACTGTGGACAGCTAAAGCTAGACTAATTCAGACCGGATTAAAAAAAAAATTCCAGCAGTTGTTAGCAAAGGGCCAATCATGTAGTACTGGTACCATTCCCAAAGTGCCAGTTACTGGAAGTTTCTCAAGTTTTGCTGTTCTAGGACAAGAAAGTGAACTTGATTCTAGAATTACTGAATAGAGTTTTTATTGATTGGTTGGTTATGTAATCATGGTCCTTTTCTGCCTTCCAATAAAGAGCCAGTACACTTTGGAAATATTAATGGCTTATTTTCTACTTGGTATTGAATGAGAATGGAATTTTACAGAAATTCATTGCTCGTTAGCACAAAAAGAAAACAAAAAATGTACAGAAGCCTATTTTGAATTTGAAATGCTTTAATCTACATACGTTAAAAATATATGTGAGGTTCTGAGATATGCTTGTTTTGATTATAGTTGGTGAAGCTGTGGCACTTAAACAGAGAGATGGTGAATTCTTCAATCCTGTGCTGAATGTGCAACAGAAACTGGCAGTAAAAAGGATACTGAGTGGTGAATGTCGCCCAACACCTTATCTTCTCTTTGGACCACCAGGAACTGGAAAAACAGTAACAGTAATTGAAGCTATTTTACAGGTAGTAGTAAATAACAAATCTGTCATCTCTAGTCTTTTCCATGTTGGAACATTTATAGTATTTCTGTAAGTGCCATCATATTTTTTTCCAAAGTAGTTTTCAAAATACTCTTTTTAAAATAATTTTCTACAACTCCATATAAGGAGGAAAACTCATCTTCATATGGATTTAACAGAATTCTGAATGTCTTATTTTCAAGGCTTTTTGTCTTTAAAACTTCAGTGAATAGTGTCTACTTTGTGCTTCCAGTAGTGCATAATGTATTCATGAAGCACAGGTATACATTAATATGATAATCATTAATTAACTCTGTTGTGGGTACACTCAGTTTGAGACTACTTAGTCATGACTGTTGGCAGGAGCGTTACTGAACTGCAGCATAATGAATGGAAATCACACATGTGCAGAGCTCTTCTGGGTTCTGTAGTCAGTGAAATAAAATGGGAATGTTTGTGCTACTGCTGCTTCTTAAATAACCTTTTTTTTATTATTATTATTATTATCTGTCTTCTTTAATGTAGATACACTTTACTCTCCCAGACAGTCGGATTTTGGTATGTGCACCATCAAATGCTGCGACAGATCTGATTTGCTTGCGGCTGCATCAAAGTAATCTCTTAAAACCAGGAACTATGGTTCGAGTTAATGCTGCCTTCAGGTCAGCAGAGGTAAATATTACAGATACCTGCCACTTAAGATTTCTGTTTTAATATTTTTACCTGAAAATACTGATTTAGTATTTTAACTCTCAGTGGCTATGAGGCTGTTTAGGTTTGCTTAGCATCCAGAGTATTATATTGCTTCAGCTTCTCCAGAAGGTTAACTAGAAAGTTGATCGTAATCCTTAATTTGATGACCATAGGATCTTCACCTTTTTCTTGCTGTGCCTAACTCTACAAACAGCAAATAGGCATTGGTGGGGATTTTTGATTTCGTTTACATTTTTTTTGTTATCAGTCCAGGTTAAGACTACTTACACAGGAAGTAAGCAAGTAGGATTGTCATCTCTATGCAGGGCACACACCTTGTGGGTTCATTTCATATATATTTATACATGTGTATATGTATTTACACACAAGTGTGTATATATAGAGATATGCATTTGTATATATATACACACGTCTGTGTGTGTTTATATGTATATATGCACATATATGTGTGTGTATATATAGATGAGTATATAAAATATCCAAATGTTCATTTTGATCCTTACAATAAAGCACAGATGTCTTGCATATGTACTATTTTGCTTAGACTAATTAATTAATTCATTTTGATGTATGAATGGGTGTTAGTCTATGTGTTTTGCTCAGCTTTTAAAATAGTTTTCAGAGAGCTTTTCTCTTCAAATTTAAAAGTTCTGTTTTAGGTTGGCACGTTATTTTCCCTTTTTGTTTCTGCAGCAAATTGATGACATGGTGAAACCTTACTGCAAAGATGGTGATGATATTCAGAAGGCATTGTGGTCCAGGATTGTAATTACAACATGCAGCAGCGCAGGATTGTTTTATCAAACAGACACACGGTACAGTACCATGGAAAAGAGTATCACTGCAGTGGCTGGATGACACAAACCCCAAAGCTTTTACAGACTGTCTGACCTGCAACTTGAGCTGTTTTAATAGTTTATTGCATGCACCTGTGTTGTGTGAGAGAGCAAAGCACTTGGTTTCTGTAATTCTTTGTTTTAGTAATGTTTAAGCAGAAACTTTCTCCATGGTAAATTTAAGAATTATCTTGAGTAATGTTTAAGATTTTTGAAACAATAATGTCTCCTCTGCCCCCAGTGGGAATTACATTGCTCTTGACAATCACTTTGGCTCAAAATGATTGCTACACTAAAAATTACAAGGTATTTGGTTTTTATCAAGCTAACTTGATAAAAGTTACTAACTGTAACTTTTGCTAACTGTAAACAACTGTCATATCAAGTTCTTTTAACCAAGGTTGTCTCTGACTTGGATTTTAACTTCGGAAAAGGACAGTCTAAAGCCTTACTATCTTTAGTTGTTTGGCAGAACAAAGCTTGGGGATTGTCTTTGCTACACCAACTGCATTGTTTTAATTCAATATCTTAAACTGAGAATAAGGGAAGCTTTTCTAAGTAGCTTAACGTTGGTACAATGCTTTAATTAAAGGTTGTGAATATCAGTATGTAAGTGAAATCAAAGATGAGGAATGAAAGTTGGGGGTTGTTTTTTCTATATTTCCTTCTGGAAGTACCCGTCTTTGCTCTGTGTCTGTGGGGTTGCCTGGCACACTTGACAAGGATGTTAACACAATTGCTGAGGTCAACCACAGGGTGGCAGAATGAACTAATCTGAAAACAGCCCTGTTTCAGGTTAATGTTACTTAATTATAGGCTTGGGCATTTCACTCATGTGATTCTGGATGAGGCAGGTCAAGCAAGTGAACCAGAGAGTCTCATTCCTATTGGGTTGATTTCAGAAGCTGATGGACAGGTAATTCTTTTAACATCATTTACTGAAAGGGATAAAGCTTGTTTATTGTTTTCATATTTTGTGGATTATGTAGAATGCAAGCAGCCATTTTCTGGTAATGAGCTTGGTACTAGAGATTATTTATGAATAATACGAATTCTCAACACTTACGTTTCTTTACATCTAGAAAAGTCTGTGTTGGGAGGACTGGGTCTGTGTGGGAGATATCAAAATAAAAGATGTGTTCTGTTTAAGACAATAACATACTTTTGTCCTTTGCAAACAAACGTTTGAAGGAAAGCAGAATACTTGATATGAATTGACCTCTGAATTTTGAACTATATATGTCATTATAAAATGAAGTTTCAGTGCCAATTATTTTAATCTAAGATGGATGTTTTTAAATTTCATATACAGATAATTCTCGTTGGAGATCCGAAGCAGTTAGGGCCAGTAATAAAATCTAGACTTGCACAGTCTTTTGGATTAAATATGTCCTTGCTAGAAAGACTATCATCAAGAGAGCTATATCTGAGAGATGAGGATGCTTTTGGTGCCTGTGGAGCATACAATCCTTTGTTGGTGAGTTAAGCTTTCCATCAACCTTTTTCAGCTCAATCAAAAAAGTTGTAGTTTCTTACCACCATTTTGCTCCCTGATGCTTAATGATAAGTCTAGCTTGAGCATGAATTCTCTAGAAAAGCTTGATTAGTTTGCATATGTGGTCTGAATAGTAAAGATGCTGAGTCCTCCAGCATGTTAAAACTTGTCTTTGAAGGGATCCTCAATTCTTAAGTACCATAAGTCAAATATGGTGCACAGAGAACAGTTGTAAATTATTGCTTAAAATTCTCTTTCATCTTCATAGTCCAGGTTTACCACAACTTCATTTTCCACAGATGAAAAAGTACAATTTCTGCTTTTAACATAAAAAGACAGAGTCTCTTCTTTGAAGATTAATTTTGCAAACATCATGTTTTGCAAAGGGAAGAAGAGAAATTGTTCTTATTTCTGTATTGTGTCTTCCTTTGAAGGATAGCTTCCTCAGATTTCTGTATGGGCAAGTACCTAAAAATCTATGTTAAGTGGCAGAGGTAACATAGTATTTAAACAAGTACAGATGTTTGAGCTGCTTTTAATTACTGTCTGATAGGCTTCCTAAGATGCCTTCCTATTCTCATGGTAACATACTTCAAAGGACTAAACCAAGAGCAAAAGATGACTAGATGACCATGGAAGTAGAGAAGGGAGGAAATCTGATGGCAGACTTAAGGGTGAAAGTGAGGGTGTTTGGACCTAGGCTTTAGGTCGGGTTCAGCCTGCTGAAAAGCCTGTCACACTTCCTCCTAAAATCTGTTAGCGCAAACTCTGGTCATTGTGTTCCTTACAGAGTGCTTAAGGAGAATTGGCAATAGTGAGAGATCAGGAAATGTGAGGGCTTTAAGGATATGTTTTTGACTGGAATATCCTATGTTGTCCCTTTTACAGGACTGTTTTTTTTTGAGCTGGTTATTACTTTCTGGAGTGCTTCCTTAACATTATTCTTTCATTTAAAGACAAATACCTTTTAGATATTTTAAGGCCAGCTTCTGTCAGCTGTTCTGATGCTCCCTGTTTGCCTGTCAAGACTTCTTCAAAGGAAGACATTTCATCCGTTGAAACTCCATGGAAATAATCTGACTCTTAAAAAAAGGAGAATGTGTCTATACATCAAATATTTCAAGAAACTGGAGATGACCCATTCATCTATCATGTACATTCAGTTCTCTTTGCTTCTCCTTTGGAGGGGAAGGAGATGGTCCTGCAAAAACAGCTTTGGTGTACTTCTTACTTACAGAAGACCACACCTGCAGTTTTTGCCTTGAATACAGTTCTCTGGCAGCCTTAGAAATGCTAAATGCTAGTGGATGGTAAGGTAATAGCTGTGTTCTGAGAAGTCTGATGAATAATTACCTGTTTCTGTTACAGATTTTGGATTTTGTCTTTGCAGATCACTAAACTCACAAAGAACTACAGGTCGCATTCTGCATTGCTTGCCTTGCCATCTAAATTGTTTTATCATAAGGAACTAGAAGTTTGTGCAGATACCTCAGTAGTGACTTCTTTCTTGAATTGGGAGAAATTGCCCAGGAAGGGATTTCCATTAATTTTTCATGGAATAAGGGTATGTAAAATATTCATACAGTGAACTAACTGTATAGGCTTGCTAGCAGTTTGCTGATTTCTGTAGAATAAATTCTAGAAAGGATATGAAAAAAGCTTAATATGCCTTTCACAGGTAATGTGACTTCCTGACCATCTGGTTTTAAGTCAAATATTTGACTGAAGTCAAATATTTGGTAAGAACTTGAACAGCTGCCTCTTGAAGTGCACTATGGAGACATTTTCATAGAAGTTTAAATTCATAGCAGATGACCAGACTGGAGTTACCATCAGCTGCTCTAGATTGCTTTTGATGAGAGTTTTCTACATTCAGATGGATACAAGCCTCTAAAACTAAAGAATCATTAGAGCTTAACTTGGCAGGGGAAAAAGTAGTACCTTGGAAAAAAAAAAATTTCTTTAATCTTCCAAGAAGTTAGTACGAAGTGATAACATCTGCTGCTTGGAGAGGCTTGGTTTAGAACTCTTCCACCTTGAAAAAGCAAGATGCCAACTTATTAATATGTGTTATTCCCCAATCCAGGGCAGTGAAACACGTGAAGGTCGCAGTCCTTCATGGTTTAATCCAGCTGAAGCAGTTCAAGTAATGATGTACTGTTGCCAGCTGGCTAGAAGTGAATGCTCTGCAGTAGCAGTGACAGATATTGGAGTGATTGCCCCATACCGTAAGCAGGTATAATGTTTAACAGGTCTGATGTCTTCAGAGCCTCAAAGTTGCTGTATTTCATCTTATGTATTTATATGGTGGCTGTGGTTTGTTAAAGCAGGGGGGCATATGTTAAAATTCCACCATGGTGTATCCTGATACACCATGTATTAGCAATCATTGCAATACTCTATTGAAATCTAAAAGACAGCAATAATGGCATTCTACTGGTTTTTCAGTTTTAAAAATCAAGCAATTAAGGAGAATTTGGAAACAGAAGCAGATTTTTCACTTATTGGAAGTAATGAGTGCAAGTCAAGAATTCATTATCCAACAGCTGGAGCAGCAGTCTGGTTCTGTCACTCTCTGCACTGAAACTGGAACAAAAGGGAATTATTATGAAGTAGATAGCCTGTCAACTTGTTGTGGTCTTGAGGAGACTAGAGGAAACAATTACTGTGACTTCTTAGCTACCCTATAGTCAGACTTGAAATTTGTAATGCTCTTTACACCTCTATAGAATGCTGAACATGAAATTCAAATGCCGTGCTTTATTTTTAAATGTATTTATATCCAGGTGTGTTAAGTATGTGATGTTTACTTTCATTTTAAAAATAAAATTAATCCCCTTTCACTTGCAGAGGAGATTTTGGACAGTGCACATAATTCTTGTTGGTTTTCACATCTCAGTATTCATAACCTTGCACATGTGGCTTGAAGAAAACACTGCGTTGTATGAAAAAGACCAAGCCCTAGTGAAGAAATCTCACTTGCAACTTAAAGCTTTGCTTTTATTGATCCAGCTAGTCAGGTGCATGCCCCTGCCTGTGTTTACAGTTAATATTTGTTTTTTTCAAATATGTATTCATACTGTTGATGTGACTGAATTTCTTACACTCCATAAACAATGATTTCATAGGACTTAATGTGATTTTGTCCTTCATCTGCCTATAATACAAGGCATATGATGGTAATGTCCACATTAAAAAAGTCACTTCGTATTGCAGGAACACTAATTAGAAAGTAGTCTTTGACTGTAATCTTCAGTTTAGTCAGGCAGGATTTCTTCTTAAATCTTTTGGAGCACTTCAGTTATAATTCCTGAGCAACTTTTAGCAGATAGCAGTACAGTAGACCTATATGTACCAGGATGCCAGTGCCTGAGACTCCTTGTTCTCTTTCTCTTTTGGTGGGTACTTAAGATCTTATCTCACTTCTGCTTTTCACTCTGCATGATGCATGTGGCAAGCAAAGGTGGAATCTTTGTAGTCTTCTTGAAGGGCTAAGGGAAGCTGCTTGCCCTGCTGGATCTGTCATATGCATGGTTTTGGATATGATGCATATTGGAAAAAGAGGTTTTAAGGATCTGAGTTATTCTTCTCTTTAAAATCTGGACTACTAAAAATCTCACCTTCTGTTTAATTTATGGTAGAGAGTACTCCTTCACCTTCTAAGTTCTGTATTAGCTGTGTGATACTTCCTTGTAGGAAAAGTTACTATTTTATGTGACAATCTTACTAGTGAATGATGACTAAGCTTGGTGTAGTCATTCCTTTCAACATTGTCATGCTAAAACACATACATGTAAATGTGGTACGGTTTTGGTTTAAAGAGTCCATTCTCAAATGTAACACTAAATTCTCTCAACCACCTTTTTTTTTTTTTTTTTTTTTTTTGATAGGTGGAAAAAATTAGATTTCTTCTCAGAAGTATTGATTTGGAAGACATAAAGGTTGGCACAGTAGAAGAGTTTCAAGGGCAGGAGTACATGGTTATCATCTTATCAACAGTGCGTAAATTCATTGTGTTCCTATTGAGAATTTTTATGTGTCTAATTCTCTGTGTTTCATTTTTGACATAGGCCTTTAAAAATTTAGAAGGTATGTTTTTGTCTGTCACAGTATTTGAAAGCAGAGCTTATTAAGTACATGCTTGTAGAAACAGCATGCTTGTAGAGTGCATGCTCTTTAAAATCTGGATTATTAAAAATCTGTTGCTTTCAGTTTAAATTATGGTAGAAGTACTTCATATTTGCAGCTGGGAGGAAGAGTCTGGGATTTTCTCACTTTTTTTTTTTATACCTGAGGGCAGTGGTACTGGGCTTACTTTCACTGTTCAACATCATACCATAGCTTTTCAATCCAGTATTAATCTTCCTTAAAGTAGTTCAAGGTATGTACTACACTCTTATTTATAAGAACTCATTATTTAGGTCATGAAAATTTTCTTTTTCAAAGGTAGGTTCAAATATGGATGAAATATGGGTGAAAAACTAATGAGTCATAGTTTTAGCACACTACTTGCTTTGGCTGTTTTTCCCGTGCTAAGACAAAGCACACTGATGAGGCTACTGAAGAAGGCATGCTGAAAGACACATTGTGAATTGTCATTCAACTGAGTGGATTTTTGCAGGAAATATTATGTTAAAACTTACACTGTGGTATGTTGTGTTCTCATAATTTTATTTCTAACACTATCCTTAATTAATTTCAGGTGCGATCTCAGAAAGTCGTAATTGATGATGAAAAACACTCTTTGGGCTTTCTCTGTAACCCAAAGAGATTTAACGTAGCAATTACTAGAGCAAAAGCTTTGCTGATTGTCGTGGGAAATCCTCACGTTCTTGTGAAAGTAAGTTTTGGGTTTGTATCTTTGAATTGTGTATGTTATTTGCCACAGCTGTTGTATGATTTTGTGGTTAATCCAATGTGAGGAAGCATCAGAATATGTTAGGAACTTGTACATTGTCCTCAGTCTGCATTTGGGAATATCTGATCTCTATGGCTTCCCGTACAAATGGACAGTTCAGGCACACACAGAGTAGATTTCCAAGCACAAGTGAAATCGTGCTCTGTGCATAGACTGCTAGCTCCTTTTTGTCTCCAGCATGGAGGCTCTGACCTCCTCTAAAGTTCTCCAGCACCATGCAAGTCCAGTAAGCATGTTCTGAGTAACCCCACACTATTAGGTTCTTCACAGAATGTAGTTGCATCACTTTAAATGGAGGATGGCAGAAGTGATCATTCCAATTAATGCAACGAGTGCCAGGGAGGAGGACTCCTTTTGGACTCATGCATGGAATAAGTTGAGCTTGTCTTAATATCTCATTTTATGTCTGACTTCACAAACACGAAGAAATGAAAATTTAGTTACCCCACACTTAATATGTAACTCTATGTAATTGAGAGCAGCTATAGATACCTTCCTCACCTGGTGCACCATACTTGCATCATCTGCTGAGTTCTGTTTCTGGAAGAGGTCCTATTAAATCTCTTACATTTATGTGCCGTGTTGATTTGTTTGAAAATTCACTTCACAGAGCACCATGATTACAGTTATATATTAATTTTCTCTTGTAGGATCCCTGTTTTTCTGCACTGTTAGAATACAGTTTGATGAACAGAGTTTATATAGGTTGTGACCTGCCCGCAGAGCTGGAACGCCTGCAGAGGTAAGTGTCTGGTCTTCACTTTAACCTTGCTAGATATTGATCAGTTTACAGTATTTTTAGAGCTGGTGTCACCTGAAAGATTGATCAGTACAACAACCTGTGTTATCATAGTAGGATTGGATTTTGCATTCCTAAGTAAACATTATGTAAACATAATGATGTAATGTAACCTTGTTTTCTCCCACCCCATAAGAGATTCTGACCATTAATTATTAAATAAGACCTGTTGTTGACTTTGGTATCTTATGTATCCCCAAATTATAATGGTGTATTTGATGATCATTAAGGTGGAGGGTACAGCAGAAGTATTTCAGGTGATTTCACTGTAGTTAAAAACAAAGTGCTTGAAACTTGATTTAAATATGTTGCTTCTGATAACATATAATAAATACAGTGTTCAGTAGGTATTACATACTAGATTATACTAGTTTTTAAATCAAAACTGTTGTTTACGGGAAAGGTAAGCAAGATTTTTATTTTATTCCCTTTAATTGACAGGTGTGACTAGTTTTTTTGTATTCAAGATGCATTCAAGAATTTGGTATTCGTCTGTTTTGAAACAGAAAACACTTATAAGAAATTCAGTCCTGAGCAGATCAAGCACTGTTTGTCCTCAGGGAGAGGCACATGCTCTGAAATGGATAGAAGTTTCTGCAAACAAGATTTTTTCTTTTTTTCTTAAGAAGTGAAAAACTTGAAATTAATAGTGTAAAGTAGTAGGGGCACCTTATTAGCTTTTCTGTTTAAAATGTGTATTACTGTGCCTCTGCAAAGAACAGTATGGCTGAATCCTCCAGACTTCAGGAGAAAAGTATTGAAGGACTCCTACGTCAGCTTTTCCATATTCTATAATTGTTTCAGCTTCTCAGTTTTTTCAGACTTGTGTAGTCCCACGTAAAATTGGACTGTCCCAAGAACATAAATGTGTGTCATTGTTGTGGGAGCATTACAGTAATATATGTATGATGTGAACTGGAATGATATATTAAATATCTCCACTCAACTGATACTGAATACCTTAAGCCAAAACCCTACTTCCAGTTTTTAATGCCTTTGTGTATACAGCTGAGATCACACGGGATGTTCTTAGTTTCCACTGTAGTTTAGCCATCTGCTGTGGTGTATGTCAGAGCAATGGCTTAAGTGGTGGGTTAAAGAAAAAAAGAGAATTAAAACTGTTTTGCCTTCCTGTAAAGGAATAGAATAAAAAAAAATAGAATAAAGTATTGTGTTTTATTTTGGCAAAATTAAAATAAAAGTATAGGTTAGCAGTATTTCTGCTCTTGGCTTAATTTGGCACTGTGCTTTCCCATTGAACAGTGTTTTTCTCTCTTCCTTGTCCTTTCCTTGGTGATTAAGTCTTGCCACACAGCACTTCAGGAGTAGCTTGACAATCGGACACTGTGTTTAAAAATTGCCAGTACAACAAGATGGCTTTCTGTATCAAACAGAAGTGTGTTAGGTAGGAGTATAGGCTACAGAGAAACAAATGAAGCAGAGGAAAAAGTAGGAAGCTTCTGTTTGCCTTGTTTACAGTCCTTTCATGTCACTTCCATTCCTGGTATTCACTGTGCTGCTTTCCCTTGCAATGCACAATATGCAGATACCGTAACTTACGTGCACTCTTCTTAAGGAGAGGTAGTAGTATTGAATCTGCTCATGGGTGCCTAAAGGTGCTGTTCTAGCTGGTGGCTGAGGGAGCTGGGTGGTGCTTTGTGGCTTCTCAGTTCTTTCATAAAACCACACAGGTGATAATGCAGAAGGGAGGTCCATGAAACGTACCCTGTGTGTCAGCTCCTGACATGCTTGGGCATGTCTTTATTAGCACACAGTAAAGCTAGAGCCCCCAAAATTATTTTGCTTCAATAAAAGTTGGGGTATTTGGTGCTTTTTTGTAGAGCTCTCTGTTAAAGTGCCTTTTAGTGCAATGATGCTTAGCAGTAGTGTGTGTTTTCATAAGAGATCCATGTATTCCTAACAATATAGTACTTCCTCATCCCTGGAAGTGTCCAAGGCCAGGCTGGATGGAGCTCTGAGCAAGCTGGTCCAGTGGAAGATGTTCCTGTCCACAGGAGGGGGTATAGAACTACATGAGCTCTAAGGTCCCTTCCAACCCCAGCTATCCAATAATTCTGTGATGCTCTGTCTGTCAAACAACAAAACGTTCCTGTATGAGTGTGGGAAATTAAATCTGTATTGTCTCACCCTTCACATGAGATTGAAAACAGAATAAAAGTGTTTAAAACACCTCTCATTTGCCCCATCTCTGGATCAGAAAAGGGCATAATCTGACATATGAGTACCAGAGAGATGATGCCAGTCACTGACAACTTGGAAGGTGATGGTTATCACAATATGTGTGCGTGTTTAGCAGCCAAAAGAGCAGTGAAGCTACTGTGAGGGGAAAAGGGACGCAGTGTTGTGCCTCATAGTGAGACTTTTTAAGCAACAGCATGTACCACGTTGACACAAAGACAAAATTGTGCTCCAAAGGACAAGTGCTAATGGTGCAAATTTGTTATTTCAATTGGTCCTTGACAGCAGAGTGGCCCTGGGGCAAGGGAGGGTGGCAGGGCCTGCAGCATGACCTGTCAGACCAGCCCAGCTGGAGCAAGGTGCAGTTCCTGCTGCACTGGAAGGCCTGCCCTTGGCACAGAGCAGGTGGCCACGCCAGCTGGGACAGAGAGCTGAGCCAAACCCATACACAGCCCTGGCAGCAGGGAGCAGGGTGGGCAGAAGCATGAAAATATGCATATTGTCAGCTCTTGGCAGTTTGCTGAAAACAGCTTTTGGGAAGTCAAGGGCCTTTGGTGGTTTCTATTCTGTTTTTAAGGGCTGTGCCCTGGGGCAGTGAAGAGGATGAGGCAGTGAGAACAGAAGGGTAGTGAAAGTCTCCCTTTTGGGTTCCCTTAAATTAATGAGCAAACTGCCCAGATGGCATAAGTGAGGCAGAAGAAGAAATCCAACATAAACAATTTGTTTAGACTGCCTAAAATGAAGACATCCTTTGTGTGGAACAGAATAGTGACCAAAAGCCATTTTCACCTTGTGTTATTGTTTTGGGAAGAGCTCTCTGCAGCGTGTTCAGGTCTTGCTGTAGAAAAGAGCTGTGCCTGTAGCACTCCAGATGTGTATTTCCATCCTTGAAATGGCATGCTGGTTTTCATAGGCTCCCTACCTCTGCCACCAGTCCAGCAGCCTCTGCAGTAAGGGCATGTGCTGGCATGGTTAGAGCCAGTCAAGTTCAGTATGTGCTGTACTGTCATTTTTCTGGCAGGTGATGCAATTTCTTCTATCCAAATTTCTGTAGTCTTGAGGTTGTGCTGGAGTTGCCTCTTGGAAGACTTGACATTTTTCAGATCTGGTGATTTTTAACTTTAGAGCCAAGGAATTGCTGGTAATAGAGTAGAAAATCGCTGCAGGTAGCTTTCTCAGGATGGTCATTTATTTTACTTAAGCCATCACCCATTTTTAAAAACAATTTGTTTGCCAGTCTTCTGTCAGATTTCTTCATCTGAATAATACAATCAAGGGGTTTTTTAAGTGTGTTATACTAGGTACTGCTAGCCAGGCAATAAGATAAATTCTGTCCTGTTTGCACTGGAAATGGTAACAGTAATATTATCCCTTTTTACTTTATTATATCCAGAATTTTAATCTTAAAAATGATTGTGTGCTGCAAGCACGTGTGGCCTCTATGGTAGTGCCCTGTACATGAACGTCATTTGCGTATGGAGACATTGCTACCATCACAGAAGAGTCTAGCAAGAGAAAACTTCAAAATCAGATTTTTTTTTAAAAAAAGTGACTCAGCAGATACATGTGGAAAGAAACATGTAACCAAAAAAAAAAAAAAAGAAGAAAAAGCATAACTAATTTTTTACTGAATTTTTTAATAGTAGAAATAAAAATAAGTTCATTAGAAGCAGATTAATGCTGTGTTTTATATTGCTGTGTAATCTTTATCCAGATTAAACTGCACATCTGCCTGGGATTGAAGTTAACAAGATTTGATGTGGACTTAAAAGCCAATCTGTAATGTCCTGCTGCCTGCTTGTAGAGATACCCTAAAATAAGTTACCATTGTTTTCCTCACCATGAGAAAATGTGAACAGTTCAACATAGTTTTCCCTCTGTTTCTCATGCCCTAGTGTTTGTGTCACTCCTTGTACATCCAGGCAAGAGCAGAGTGCTGCCTTTAGTCACAGGCTGCTAAGGAATAACACTTGATTAGAATCAGCCTTGCATGTACCGTACCTGAAGGAACAGTAGCACAAGTCTGGTGACAGTGGTTTGAACTGCATGTTAATGTTCCAAACATGCTCCTTCAATAAATGATGTTTCAGAGAGTTTTAAGAGTAAATTTTCCAATGAACCACATGGAAAACTCAACTCTTACCTCACAACACTGTAGGTACATTTTTTAAAAAATCTCTTGAATACAGTGAAGTGCTTTAAAATTGCATTCTCTCTCTTTACTTCTGTTTGTCCCCAGTGCATCAAACTCTTCATAATTTCCTACAAAATAAAATTACATTTGCAGTCCAGGAGCAACCTGTGTTCCAAAAATGTCTATTTCAGTAACTCCTTGTGCTCTTACTGTAAAATCAATTTGCCTTTTTTTTTTTTTTTTTTTTTTTTTTTTTTTTTAATGCTGGGAGTTTTTGCACTGTGCTTGTGGCTGGAAACCCATAGCACATCAGACCTTGCAATTCACAAGCCTGAGGTTGCAGAAATCTGTATTAAAACAAAACTCCAGATAAAATTTGTATCAGCAAGCCTTCTGCTAAATGATAAATCCACTCTTCAGGAACTTACCTCATGCAGTCTGAAGATAGGGCCTAGATACAAAGAAGTAAATTCACTCTTCTCGGCAATGCCATTGAAATTCAGACATTTTCCTAAACAGGGTTGAGTACTCCATGCCCAAAGAGGAATGTAATTTAAATTTCTGTCCACCTTGTGGTCTTTACAAAGTTTTTGAAGCTGTAGATCTGTTTAAGA